AGAGCAAACAATTACCTTTATTGGTCCCTTCTAAAAACCTGACCTTCGAAACCTTGCTCTGATTGGCCACTAGAATCCCTCAAATTTGCATATCCGGCACCTCATGATTGGTCCAAAAGCAACCAATCATAACCCACCGTTAACAACCAATCACGGTCCACATTTACAACCCACCAGCATGTATATAACCACGATGCCTGGCCCACAGTAAACAGATGACCAGGAAGACGACACAGACGACCAGGAAGACGACACAGACGACCAGGAGAGCCTGAAGAGCTGAAACACCGCACAGTCTCCAGACAACTCTGAAGACCCTGAAGAGCTGACACTACATCGTCTCCAGACGACCTGGGAGACCCTGAAGAGTTGTAACACTACATCGTCTCTGGACGACCCTGAAGAGCTGTGACACTGCGTTGTCTCTGTGCTACTCACAGTAGATGACGTGACCCTTAAGAGTTGTGACACTGCGTTGTCTCCGTGCTGTACCGTACCCGTTCGGCTGTCCCCCCGGGTCGGGACACCCGCTGGTCTCTGAAAGAGAACAGCTTTTAGATCCAGATCCAGACCCGGCAGAATTCCACTACTTCCCAGCTTAATGACCTTGAGCTAATACATCGATAGATCTGTTTCCTCACCCGGGAACAGGCATGCCACCTATGGTACTTTATAAGGCCACTGTGAGGATTAAGCATAATGGCTATAAATAATCTAATACCAGGCTTTAAGGTACAGCAGACACTTAATAATTGTTAACTACTAAACTATTTATTCTTTTTCCACGTCCAATCAGTTCACCAGCCCTTCCTTTAGTTCCCACAGAATCTTTTTTATACCGTATTATACAATGAGTACCAATATCTTGAAGATATTTGTTATTTATACATGCACCTGGCTCCGCCATCAGGTTACAGACAAGGTGGTGTGGCTATGGATTTCTAAATCTCTAGCCATTTACTACTTGTGCAGGTTAACTGATCTCTCAAAATCTGTTTCTTCACTGATAAAATGAACATGATTTAATTCTTTACAGTGTTAAAAGGTTTACAAGAGTTAGGAACCTAGGTGCAGACAGGTGACATGGCAGTTAAGGGCACTGGACACCCACATGGCCGGCTGCAGTTAGAATCCCAGACTTGGTGGCTCACTTTCTTACTTTACCCCACCCCCTCACTCGGTCCCTATCTGGTCAAATTTAAATAAACAAATAAAATTAAATAAAATAATTCTTTAAAAAAAAAAAAAAGGGTTAGGGACCTGCAGATGGTGTAATGGTTAAGGTGCTAGACTCCAACATGGCTGACCACAGTTTGAGTACCTGACCTGGCAGCCTGCTGTCTCTTTCTCTTGTAAAATTTCAAAATAAATAAAAAATGGACCAGCAGGTGGCGTGGTGGTTAAGGCACTAGACACTCCCACATGGCAGATCATGGTTCAGATTCCAGACCTGGTGACTTTTTTTCTCACTCCCCCCACCCTGTGCATCTTTCTGGTCAAATTAAAATAAATGAATGGATAGGGAACCAGCAGTTAGCATAATGGCTATGTAGCTGGACTGCCACGTAGTCGACCGCGGTTCACGTCCCGGACCTGGTGGCTTAAAACTCACGCCGGGCGCGTGTGCGTGCGTGCGTGCCCAAGATCCCGAGAGGAGAATGGAGGAGAAGGGATTGCGGCGTGACCGGGGGGTGATTTCTCGCTTTCTGTCTCTATGTCTCTGTCTGTCTGGCAAGCGCACGCACCCTATAGTGAAAAAAACCTCTCCAAAAAAAAAAAAAGAAAAAAAAAGAATGGATAAATGAAATTAAATAAGTAATTCTTTAAAAATAAATAGAGGGGCCAGCAGTTAGCATAATGGCTATGTCGCTGGACTCCCATGTAGTTGACCGCGGTTCGAGTCCCAGACCTGACGGCTTAAACTCACACCAGGCACATGTGTGTGCACGCCCAAGATCCCAAGAGAATGGAGGACAAGGGATTGCGGCATGCCATCTCCCCTGGGGGTGATTTCTCACTTTCTGTCTCTGTCTTTCTGGCAAGCACACGCGCCCTATAGCAAAAACCTCTCCAAAAAAGAAAAAGAAGAAAAATGATTTGATATCACAGAATTTGCATTCCAGTCAGCTGTGCAGCGATACTTATGTATTAATATGTCATAGAGCGGGACTAGCAGATGGCATGGTGGTTAAGGGTGCTGGACTCCCACATGGCTGACCACAGTTCAAGTCCTGGATCTGGCGGCTTGCTTTCTCACTTTCTCTCGCTCTGTCCATCTCTGGTCAAAACAAAATAAGTAAATAAATAAAGTCAAATAAAACAATTGTTTATTTAAAAAAATATATAAATATATATATGTCAAAGAGCACAGAAGCTAAAAGCCTGGAATGGTTGTGGAAAGATTGACCTAGCTTTAAATCTGATACCACCACTTAACTAGCTGTGTAACCTAAGCATTTTTTTAAAATGTGCTAGAAGGGGGACCAGCAGTTAGCATAATGGTTATGTCGCTGGACTCCCACATAGTCGACAGCGGTTCGCGTCCCGGACCCAGTGGCTTAAAACTCACGCTGGGCATGTGTTCATGTGTGCCCAAGATCCCGAGAGGAGAATGGAAGAGAAGGGATTGTGGTGTGGCCATCCCCCATGGAGGTGATTTCTCGCTTTCTGTCTGTCTCTGTCTGTCTGGCGAGTGCAGGCGCACTATAGCAAAAACCTCTCCAAAAAAATAAAAATGCTAGAAGGTGTACATGCTTGTCTGTGAGGGAAAAGGAGACAAAGACAGAGACAGAGCAAGAGAGCACTGCCCACGGGGGTGGGAGACGGTCATGCCGCGGCCCTTCTCCTGTCTCTCTTCCCTCCTTTCAGAATCTTGGGCATGTACTGCACGAGTGTCCAGGTGTTTTTCAAGCTGCTGGATCCAGGACTCAGCCTTAAGTCAGATACACAGGACCCAGCTGCCCTAACCACCATGCTAACAGCTGGCCTGCATACTATTTTTTTAAGCCTCATATTTTTTGTCAATAAAACAGAGACTATAACAGTATGACGCTCATAGGGTTGATATGAATATTAAATGAGGTAACATATGCTAAGTGTTCAGCAAAGTACTTCCTTTATATATACTCAGTTAATGTTATTCTACCTAGCAGTTCCTGAGCACAAGGTCCTTCAAAAATATTGCTGAGGGACCAGCAGGTGGCATGGTAGTCAAGGTGCTGGGCCTCCCGCATGGCCAATCGGGGTTCAAGTCCTGGACCTGGTAGCTTGTATCACACTTTCCCTCCCTCTGTGTGTGTGTCTCTGTCTGGTCAAATTTTAAAAATTAATGAATGAGGGAACCAGCAGTTAGCGTAATGGCTATGTCGCTGGACTCCCACGTAGTCGACTGCGGTTCGCGTCCTGGGCCCGGTGGCTTAAAACCCACGCCGGGCGCGTGTGCGTGCGTGCCCAAGATCCCAAGAGGAGAATGGAGGAGAAGGGATTGCGGCGTGGCCATCCCCCCTGGGGGGTGATTTCTCGCTTTCTGTCTCTCTGTCTCTCTCTGTCTGTCTGGCGAGCGCACGCACCCTATAGCCTCTCAAAAAAAAATGAATGAATGAATAAATAAAATTAAATAAATAATTCTTAAAAATATATATTGCTGAGGGGCCAGCAGGTGGCATGGTGGTTAAAGGCGCTGGATTTCCACATGGCTGACCATGGTTTAAGTCCTAGGCCTGGCAGCTTTCTTTCTCCCTTTCCTTTTCTCTCTCTCTCTGGCCAAATTTAATAATAATAATAAATAATAAATAGAATTAAATAAATCATACATATATATACACATATATACACACACGCACACATATCTATATATATATGTGTGTGTGTGTGTGTGTGTGTGCAGCTGAGAGAATGAATATTGGGCCAGCAGGTGGTGTAGCGGTTAAGATATCTGGATCCCACACGGGCAACTGTTCAAGTCCCAGACCCAGTGGCTTGAGAAACACAGCACACATGCTTAGGCTCCTGAGAGGTAAATGAAGAGAGGTCATTCCCTCTGGGGGGTGGTTCTCAGTGTCCCTCTCTCTGTCTCTCTCCTGCAATCACACATGCCCTACAGCAAAGGAGTAATAATTAAAATAATTAGCACATTTTATATTAGGAAATAAGTGTGCTACTAACTTGTACCTTTAGTTTTAACCCATGTTAAGTAACAGCAAACAGTCGCTACCCTGTCTGGGAGCATTTTGGAGTTTACAAAGTCCTTCCAACAACGATAACCTCGTGTACCTCCATACCCTCAGGAGGTAGATATTTGGGGGTTTTTTGGGGGGTGGGGAGAGGTTTTTGCTATAGAGCCCCTGCACTCGCCAGAAAGAGAGAGCCAGAGAGACAGAAAGCGAGAAATCACCCCTCAGGGGGGATGGCCACACCGCAATCCCTTCTCCTCCAGGGATCTTGGGCACACACGCACATGCGTCCAGCGTTGAGTTTAAGTCACCGGGTCCAGGACTTGAACTGCGGTCGACTACATGGGAGTCCAGCGACATAGCCATTACGCTAACTGCTGGCCGCAGGAGGTAGCTACTTCTAAGATATGGTACGAATACTGGTAACAAAAGGCCAAGTTTACCCATCCTAGTTGCATTCTCCAACCAGATTCTCCAGCTCAAAGATCCACTGAAAGGCGGCAGACTCCTGCCAGGGACCGCCCTCCCGAAGCACAGCAAGCGCAGGAGCCCCCGAGTAAGTCCGAGGTGCTAAGGCTAAACCCCGCCAGAGCCCGGGAGAGGACCCACGGTGTGGCTGTCTCCCTACGCGGTGTCCTCGCACACCTGCGGGGCGCGGGCCAGGCCTGGGTGCGGGTGTGCCCTCCCCACCAGAGCCCCGGACAGGAGATCGGGCAGCTCGGCGGGACCCCGTCAACGCCTGCGATAGTGACAGGGGACGCTGGCAGGCGGTCACCCAGACCCGGCTGACCCCAGCTCTGCGATGGGGCTCGAGCATCGCCGGCAGACCTGGAGTCGCTGGGCGGTGAGGGTCCGACGGGCATCCGGGCTGGGAGGCTGGCTGGGGACCGGCGCCGCTGAGGGGAACCAGGGACGCCGACCCTCCGGGCGGAGAGGCAGGAGGAGGCGGGTCTGGCCTCAGCGAC